CCGCGAAGGGCCTGTTTTTTCGTGGAAAGTCTTCCCCGGAACAGTGATCGACCTGTTCGTACGAAGCACGGTATAGCGATTGAAGCAACGAGTCCTTAGACCTTGATCCTTGGGCGAAAGGGATTCCCCATCGAAATTTGCGCGATTCCTTTTAAGGAAGATCTTCCCCATTTTATCATTTCCCGATTTCTTTTATATCTTATGACGAATGTAAGGGATGTATCGATGTAGGGGATAAAATAACGCAACTAATGATTCTTATTTGAGAAAAAAAGCAAACTTTGAAAGATAAAAACTCTTTGAGAAACGCATTTATTTTTACATACTTTTACTTCGTTTTTAAAAATATCGTTTAGCTATTATGATAGTATACTATTCAATAATATTATAAATATATATAATAATATATTATATATATTTGAAAACTATTATAATTGCATTAGCAACTTTAACACTGCTGAATATTTGGTAAAATCTATACTTCAAATGCTCTTTTAAAGGCAATTTGTTTCTCTTGATTACAGTCATTTCATTTGCACTCTTTTTTTTCAGAAAGATTCTCGATCATGGATTTAACTTTCTTGAATAACGCTGAAAGATGTTGAAATGTTCAAGATGCCTGTACAATAGAATGACGTCCTTACGTCAGTTCTACATTGTCTAACTTGCGATAGTTTTCAATGCGGCATTTCCCGGGGAAATATAGGAGATTGTTTCGACGAACATTTAGAGAGAAGTTTAACTGACGGCAACACTTCCCAGGAAAATGTTCACGGTTTCAACAGGCACTTCATACTTTCAACAGGAAATTCAGATGAGAAGTAGAGGCGCCCTTGCGCTCACGAATTTAACAAGAGAACTCGATATGTTTGATATAAATCGGACTAAATTGCCACTTTTGAACATTGCTTCGTCCGAAAGCATAGGAACGATCGATAATATGACCTCGTGCACTTTATTCAGGATTGGAGTGAGGAAAGGAGTTGTATACATCACGGGCGCAATGCGGCGTAGAGGTGATGGCAGGGAAAGTTACCGTCATAAATTAGTCGGTCAGACGTCGTCGCGGGGTCATAAAAGCCCGGACAACCAAAAGCTTAGAAGACGTTTAACCCTTTGCGAATTAATCTCGAGGCAAAATTAAATCCTTTGTTTTCCTCATGTTTTATGTCATCCAAAATAGTCTCGAAATCATCAGGTCCGTTTTAATATTTTAAGGATCACGCGAAAGTAAAAACATGTTACATGTTTTAAGGAGTTTCAACGGAAAGGAAATCTTGATGAAAATGAAGATCTAGTCTTCAAAGATTTTAATCTTCCGATTGCAAAACTTTGGCAGGATTTCTTTATCCTTTTTCTTCTCGAGAGATTCTCTTTGCAATGCGTGTTATTGATGTAACGATTTGCGATTCGTACGTGCGATAGTTTATCTAAATTTTATCACATTTGTTTCGAAAAAATAAATAAAGATTTAGTTTTTTAGTCATCAAACAACACAAGTTAAACTAGCTTCTCTTTAAACTTTTTGTATTTGTCATATTTACGATATTTTATCTAAATTTTATCGCATTTGTTTCGAGCAAATAAAAGTTGTAGTTTTTTTATATCTTGTATGTTGAATTATTCATGACTACGTACAGACAGATTAGTTGTTACAACTTGTGGACAACTTCGAACAGCGAAAAGCATTATCGAACCGATTATATGAATGAAATTGTGAAATATATACTTTTATATGGTTCATTTTTTTTACATAAATACTTAAATTGGCAATATACGAGTCAGAAAATTAGGTCACTTAAAATGAGCTTGTCGCTAAATTCTAAATTCTTAATGATTGAAATTAGAGATTTTAATTCCTTTTTATACTTTTTATAAGCCGTTTATTTTTAATTGCACAAGGAGCGATCGGGAATCAAGAAAAGATATAATATGAATGTCTTACATCATTGATAAATCCCTTAGAATTTAGACACTTCCAGATATTTTCGTTTCTCTTATTCAATTTTACACAAATAATACTCGATTTAATTTAATTCATCTATTTTTCGAGGTGAATTGGAGAGAAATAATTCATTCTTCCGCTCTTTCTCTTTTTTATTATTCTCCTATGGATTTCGCATTTTTTGTGTCAAACAATAGGAATATTTAGCAATATTGGTATCATACGCGGTATTACGGTTTGCAAGATACTGGTCGGTGAATTCCTACAACGGTAGCACTTGTGGTTCTTCGGATCGTGAAGATAACGTATGCGATTGTCAAATCGAATCCTATTACCGTGCTAGAAAAATATCGCAATAACTTCACGGAAATAATGGTTTTGCTGCTTTAAAAATTTAGCTATAGAAACAAATCTGTAAAAATATATAATTTTGTTGAACTATTAAAATAATTATGTGAGGCATTCAAGCTGGTTGTTAGAATGTTAAAATTTTTTGCAGCATTGTCATGCTTGAGTTTCCTATGTAATTATTTTGATGATCAACAAAATTATTCTCAGATTTGTACCCAAGCAGAACGACAAGTCATTATGATGTCAAAATAACTCCAAATTGATCATTAAAAGTCATTTTTCAATCATTTCCAATTCATTTTAATGTCATTTTGACATTATATCGTGACTTGTTTGTTTTGCTTGGATATTTACTATTTTTTTATATTTTAACAAAAAAAGGATTTCGAATCACTGAAATGATTCTTTCGAGCGTAATCGCTTAAGAACGAAGTTAAAAAAGAAATTACATTTCTCTTTGTCGAGACTTTAAGCGAAATTATAAAATAATCTCATTAAATCTTATTTGATCGGGTTATCCACAACTTATTTAATCGCACAGATTACTTTGGAACGATATAGAACTTTTGCATTTATAAAACTGTAAAAAGAAACTACTACGGTAAACAAATTAATTTTTCAGAGAGAAACAGAACAAACATTTCAATTTCTGGATCTAAAGTTCCTTCAGAATACATAATATATAATAGCAACAGATAATGCTATTGTAGTTAAAGAAATGGAATTTTTTAAATAGAAAAAAGAAAGAAAAAAAAGAGGGTGGAGAAGTAGAATCACATAAAGAAAACTATGATAAAAATTTATGTTGCATTAAATATCTCTAAATTTTGCTTACACGTATTTCACTTTATTTCAATTATTTACAACATGACAGTTCGTTTAATTAAGAGAATCAGGTTTTTTTCCAGAATTAAATCTCATCATGAGCGCGGCCTGGTTTCGTCGCGTTAAATTCGATCGTCCTCGAATGAATCGACGTACTTTAAACACATTTTCCTCCGCCGACGTTGTCGATATACGTATCCGGTGACGGCGACAGCGGAAAAGTCGAATCCGTGAAACAGCCAAGATCATCTATGCACAAATAGATATTCGTTTTCCCGGGTACGATTAAGAGCTGCGATGTCGTTATCTTCTCAGCTCGGGATCGTCTGCGGGTCGATGACGTAAAGCGGGGCAAAGGTGAAAGGTGAAAGTATCTGGACGAAATGACGTAACTTGATCACAATGATGTAACTATTTCGGATCTGCGGATTTCGTGCGGTCAGTCGACCATTCGCTTCTGATCGAATTGTATCGCTTTTACAGCGTGTGATCACGACGATCGTGCTATGATAGATCCTACAATAGACACGTTCGCGAAGCGAGGATCGATTACTGACGCTCGCTCGGCGAGAACCACCCCGGTTTTCCCTTCGCCGATCGAAGTAATTGCCGATACGATGTTAACTGGCATCGGCAATCCGCTTTCGGGATATCACGGATGAATGCGCTATATCCGACAATTTGTTGAAATTTAGGGTAGCGCCTACGAAAGCCGACGTCGTGAGGGCTATCGAGCGACCCACTTTCTCCTTCTCCGACCCCTTTCCTCTCACTTACCTCCCCCCCATCCCTCTGCTTTGCACTGTGTACCCTGAATGTAGTTTTTGTCTATCCCGCTTTTCTTGTAATGATGGTACTATGCCGTCTTTTGTTATTTCTGCTCTATTTTTCTTCATAATGATTCTACTCCTCCACCCTCCTTTCTTTCTCCTTCTTTCTTTTTTTTTTTTTTTTTTTTTAAGTATTCCATTTCTCTAATTGCAATAGCATTATCTGTTCCTATAATGTGTATTCTGAGAGAACTTTAGATCTAGAAATTGAAATCTTTGTTTCGTTTTCTCTGAAAAATTAATTTGTTTACCTAGAGAAAATAAGAGCGAAATTTTAATTAGCAACGTAGACTTTTATTATTAATTTATTGTGCAGTATTTTTTTTTATATATTCTCTTTGATATATTTCTCTTATTTTCTTTTTCAACGCGTGCGTTTCTATATTTTATGCATGTATAGCGTATATATATCTGCAATTTCATCAACGACGAATAAATCTTTGCTCGCCAAATAATCATCATTCATCTAAATTTTATCTTTGCTTCACGAGCAAATGTAATTTGCATAATGCAAACGAAATAAATCGCTTAGATTCACTTGCAAAATGCGAATTGTCCGACTTCAGTGAAACCGAGTATCCATTATAAATTGTCGGTTGTTCGAATAAAATTCGGTTATCGACGAAACATTATTGATATATTTAAATAACATTAAGATTTTATTTATTAGGATGAAATTTTAAGACGCGCACGTATTTGATCTTATTTAAAAGAATATTTAAAATGTAAGCAAGACTTTTTTATATTGGCTCCATAAATATTTGGTACATAAAACTGATCTCCAAGATCATCTTATTCTGAATTTATAAGAATCTTCCATTTAAGAGTAAAATATTCTCCTGTTAATAAGTATGATTGTCTCTATATCGATTATCGATTCTATTTGATGGTAGAAGTAATAGCATCCAGAAATCTTTTTTTATGGGAGTGCAATCGTCTAATTTTATATCCGGTAGAAAAAAAATTCGGTTTCTTCGTATCGAACTACGAGTGAAGGTCTTCGCCTGACTGTTCGATATCAGCTGGCGCCGTATCAGCCTGGTTTCCATAGGATGTGACCGAGCGCGTGTGCCACGTTATTACGTCACAGAAGGGTAAAACGTGAATCAGATCTATTCCCGATTAATTCTCATCGCCATTGACGTTAGTTGAATTTGTCGAGAAATCACGGTCAAGTTTCTGGTCTTTAAAAGACGAGCCTTTAAAATAGTCATAAAACACAAAAAGGGATGAAAGAGAGAATTTTAACCGATTGCACGTAATGCTCACCGTAATCTCTCGTATAAATGTGTAAGATAGTTGCCACTGTTTAAATCGCAAAAATATCGCAGAAAACCTTCGAAATATCTAGCGATTTCGAGATTCAGGAGAAACAATTTTATTCCATTTTATGATAATTCTTTGCGAATCCGACTGCAAATGCATGACGATCGATTTTTTTTTCTATTTCAGGTGAAGCGATAATATGTTACCAATGCAACAGCGAGTACGACCCCAGATGTGGCGACCCATTAGATACGTACACTTTGGGGACTGTAAACTGCAGCTTTCAGCCTCGTCTGGAGCACCTCAGTCACTTGGAGCCTACCCTTTGCCGAAAAATCAGTCAAAAAGGTAAAGGTCTCTATTTGCTTCTGCAAATCCAAGTTAAACTTCATCTAACAAAAATTCCGAAAGTTTTATATTTGTCAAAATAATCAGCGCTTATCAGTTTTTACTTTGATTTAACTCTACATTTATTATTATTATAATTTTTCAAATAACAGCTCGCAACTGTAACGATTTATTGCATGTTTAAAAATTTGTTATTTAACAAACGTCATTTATATCAGTTACACAAGTTAGGCATGCTTTGATCCGCAACTCACAAATATGTAACATCCTACACTCATTTTATAAGTAATGCAATGGCATTGCAATAATATTACATTTTATAAATAATGCGATAGCATTGCAATAATGTCACTCCAACGGGCAACGTTGTGACAAGGCGTTAATGCGATTGGATTAATTAAGAGCAATTGAATTATTTATGAGAAGAATTGAATTATTATCGAAAGCTATCGATTCTGAATTAATCAAAGGGTCCATTGAGCCGTCGATGATAAGTTCGGAACATGAATAACCGCGTTTAACTCAAGAATAGTCACCCAATTTCTTAACGTAAACAATCATTTGAGATGATTTTTATATCTCCACTTAAAAGTCATTAATATTATTGAACGATATTGTATATTATTGATTGCCTTACTTGCAAAATAATTAATAATAATCAATAATATTTGAGAACTCTGAGATTATTATAATATATACAGGGTGTATCTGAAATAACGTACACTAACCATACAGTGCTATTCCTAATAAAAAACTGAATCGAAAAGTCCTCTCTACCATTTTGCAATTTTCGGAATAGTTAACAAGATATTAATTACTAAAAATCGCTGAATCGTGAATATTGGTTTTCAATAGTTTTTTACTCAAATACTATCAACTTTACAAAAAAACTGCAACAGATAAAAATCATTAATTTTCTTCTCATAAAATTTTAAGAATTTTTTCAGAATTTTTTATCAACTTTTTAGTATTGCATTTTCTTATTTTTACCATGAGAAAATATGGTATTAAAAAATTCTGAAAAAATTCTCATAACTTTATAAGAAGAAAATAAACAATTTTTATCTCTAGCAGTTTTTCTGTAAAGTTGATAGTATTTGAGTAAAAAATTATTGAAAACCAATATTCAGCGATTTTTTGTAATTAATGTCTTGTTAACTATTGCGAAAATTGCAAAATGCTAAAGAACTTTTCGACTCAGTTTTTTATTAGGAATAGCACTGATTAGTATACGTTATTTTAGATACACCCTATATATCCAAGTAACACGCAATATCACAGTGACGTTAAATTGACATAAAATTCGATGAAACTTTCGTCAAGTTTCAATCAAGGTGACGTCAGGTGTCTCGACCTTATCATGATAATCGAGTTGAATAGATTCACTTATTATTTTTGTTAAAAAGTAAGGTGGAATCACAGACTTTTATAGAAGTCTGTGGATGAAATTAAAAAAATATATAGATTCTCGGATCAATAAAAGAAACTACCGTGACTGAGCATTTGTTCGCTGCTGGAATATAAAAATTATTCCACAGGTGACTATTCCCGATTCAAAGATCATATCTATCCTAGATTTAAATCTCTAAATAATTCTAGATTCTAAGCAGCGAAAGGAATTTAAAAACAGAGATTTCAACACCGTTCCCGTTGCTGTTGCAGTGTACGGCAAGGAGAGGGTCGTCCGCAGCTGCGGCTACATCACGGACGCCGAGAAGGACAACGGCGAGTGCCTTATGAAGACCGGCACCCACGATGTGCGCGCTATATACTGCTCGTGCACCGGTGATCTGTGCAACTCCGTCGAGAGTCTCCGTACGCCGTCCCTACTGCCACTGGCGTCCCTTCTGACTGCCGTATTGGCGACACCGAGTCTGCTCCTATCGTGCCCGATCGTGCCGTCTCGTATCTCCCTCTCAGCAGCCTAATTCTGCCTAGTTGTTCTTCAAGTCGCACCCTGAGAATCTGAGATTCCATCCCCGGCCCGTCGTCGCGCCGCACGGACCGTTCGTATACCTTGGATTCACTCCTCATTCCGTTATATTGATCGATCGAACGCCGGTCGATCGTTATTGTCAATTTCCCTACTAGCTACAATTTCCCCGATCGTAAGAAGATTGCGAGAAGATCACGAAAATATCTTATTCTTTGTTTGATGGATCACCCGATCCTTAGATAAGGGTTCGATACAGCCAAAATACTTAAGATTTGGATCGATGACTTTGGAATAATTAGAGATACTTCAATTAAAAGCGATAAGTAACCTTAGTTAGACGCAACGTAGTGATTTCAAAATGAGTTAGAGTAATAAGTATGATTGATCGTGATGGATAAGTGAAATAATGGATTGCGAAAGAATGGCTGTATCGTTCGCTGCTGAGGAAAAGAAGTCGTTATTCCGACTTTAAGCCTATATCAACAATTATACCGGCTTTCGGCCTAATTAAATAGCGCCAGACAATTGAGGCACGTCAATCTTCACGCCGCCAACGAAGGGAACTTCGCACCCAAGCAATATTGAATTTTTCCTTCACTTGCTCCGAAGCAGCTGGCTATTCGAATTATACAACGAATCCGATGCGTCGCCCCCCTGTATTTCTCAGGAATCGAGATCGGCTTCTCAACGCGAGTTTCGAAAATCCCGATTTCTCGCGCACTTGCATTCACAAGGGCCTTTTTGATAATCGTTCTGAAGAACGAAGGACGACATTCCGCTAACTTCTCGTAGATAATTTCAAATTTTCGTCGCTAATGAAGAGATTTTAGATTTTAATCGACCCCTCGGATGGCGTCTTCGGCTGCGAACGGTCCGTAATGTAGCCAGATTAATTAACGTAGCGTAACGGTGATAACTGCCAGATGCGCGAGGGCGACACTTCAGTAGTATACATATCTCTGCGAAGAAAAAAAAAACAAGAGAAAACGCAAAAAAGATACCACGGCCTCTGCGTAAAAGAAAAAAAAAAGAATCGATCACCGACGCCTCTCGTGTTGCGCTGATATCGCGCTTATCGCGCGATTCTTATTCGGATTTCATCGGCTGTGTCGACTTGGCTGTTTAGATAAAAAATTTCCGGATATTTTTTGCACAGATTAAGAGGAATCAATTAAGGAATCCCTTCTACGATTAATTCGTTTATTATTTAAATTTCTCCAATTGAGGGGATGGACGGAATAAAGGCACAATTCTACTTCGGCCCTTTTTCTAGCAATTAGCTTTTTCAATGTAATATTGATCGTAATAGAAAAGTATTGTAACATGTAACTTCTTAAAGACATTACATAAATTCATTCGATACTGTACTCATTTGTGTATAATAAAAAAGTAAGTTATTTTAATTTTTATTAATAGAGAGTTTAATTTTTATTAATATCAAGATTTTACAAATTAGGCCTTTTTCCACCCATCCCCTTAATTATTCTCAAATAAGTATTCTCAACAACCTTCTCTTAAATCTGCGAAATTTCGTGATTGAAAAGAAATGGCGAGTTTTTTGCAAAACGCATTCCTATATTGATTCCTATCAATTTGTCTACTTTTGTACAGGAACGACCGAATTTTAACGTGCGACAAGTGCAATATCGGGATAAAAAAAAGCGCAGCAAGAGAGGTGAATAATCTTATGAAAATTTACGACTAGTGTAACAATAAAGAGTAAAACACACCACGGTAACAAAGTAGCGGCATCGCGATAACACATTTCGCACTTCGCCTACTACCGCTGAACACATTCGCGTGTCTGTGCATGAGTGTGCCTGCCTGTATGTGTGTACGCATTAATTACGATGTACGTATATGCACGCGAAGTAAAAAAAGTATATAAAAATATATTTTGTCGTTGAAATAATAAGCCAAAATGGAATTGCACGCGAGATTGACAGGCATGCTTATTTTTAGAGGTGCAATGACACGTAGCGTTTGCGAAACGAAACGGGATATAATACGGGACGAGTCCGCGTCGCATCCGTTCAGTATTATTTATCGTAGGCCTGTTCTTTTTGACTGAACTTTTTTGCACCAATTCATCTTTCTTCCTTTTCTCTCCAGGAGGAAAGAAGAGGAAGAAAGATGAACTGGTGCAAAAGTTCAGGCAAAAAGAACAGGCCTCATGTATCATAATTTAATCGTGACATAATTTAGATAACGTAATTTTTAATCCATTAAATATAATGTTTGTAAAACTTCTGAGTAAATTATTATCGATTTATAACATGGAAAAAATTTTAACTTAACTGTACATAATATTAATACAATTAGATATATCTATAAAAATTTAACTATAATTTTTAATGTAACTATATATAATTTTTTTCAATTAATTATTTTAAATTTAGTAAAAGACAGAGAAATAATAAAGATGTAATATTATAGACAAACATTTGTTTTATTGAAAGTTTATTAACTTATCTTTGAGAAATTACGTTTATCTAGAACTCTCACACATAATTCATTCGATATCTCCACTCAATTAATCTACTTATTGATACCAAGTTTTCCGATTAAATTGAAATATAATCTGAACGGATATATCGTTTCTTTAAACGATTCTAAAAGGGATTCTATGTAAAAGACAGGATAATGTAAAACAGATATGACATATCGATATATCAAAAGAGAAAGAGAGAGACCTCGCATTTAGCTCTAATGAGAATTGAAGATCCGCCGTCGTGTCCATGTGATTATTCGCGTGTTTCGCAGAACTTTGCAATAAGTGCAGTTTAAGCCTGAGTCACCTGAGCGTACAATAACCGCTGTTTGTATGCTGTGTGAATGCTTTGTATGTTTGTGCGTGTCTGTGCAATAATAATAATTGAGCGTAATGCTAAATTCGATAGCTCAATTAGGGTCGGTTGTTGCACCTTCGTGTAAAACGTTCACTAATATAATTTACCAAACCAGATAAGTATCTCTCTATCTCGTTTTAGAACGCGCATGTTAATTGCAATATAGACAAAGGGATCAGTTGACCGACGTTGGGAAAACCGGTCCTTAATAATTCGTTGTTGCTCTTTTGATCGCGATTGATAGAAGGGAGAGGTGTTCGGTAATAAATATTAAGTCTTCGGTAAATACAGGATGTTCGGTAATGAGAGCGCATTATTATGGTGGATAATAGTCCCAGTCGGAAGCTTTCATTGACGAAATTCTTTCGTTGGAGAAACTTAACGAGATATTACATTCTTCTCACAATTTTGAAAATTTATGTTAAGTATCGTCATACTTCAAATCGAGATAATCTTGATAAAAAATTTTCTTAAAATTCTTCGCATAATTTTGCAGAACTTTCATATAAATTTTACAATTTTTTAGAAGACTTCTCAAGTTTTTTTACATTTTTCAGAAATGTGTTGAGAAAGTTCCATCTTTCCTATAATTTTTTTAATACGTGAAATATTCTAAGATTTCTTATTCTATAATTTTCGAAGAAAACTTAGAAGAAGTTTGAAAATTTTAAAAAATATGAAAAAAATTTTTTTAAATAAAGAATTTTTCATTAGAAAAATTTATTAAAAGCCATTTTTTTACAACTTAGAAATTATTCATGATATTTTTAAGAGGATAGAACATTTTACAGCAACTACCGCATGCGCTTAAACTATAATAATCGAACATCCTCTATAATACTGATGCTAATAATAATAGTAATAATAATGGCAACATATACAGCAGCATGCCGGCAAATGTAACGAACGAGCAATAACATATGAGAAAGTAGATGAATTATTGACAAAAAAAATGAAGAGAAATTAGATGAAATAGGCGCGCTTGGTCAATATTAACTATGTCACTGTAGCAGTCTTACAAAAAAAAGCGATCGTTTTTATAATGCCGCTGTTATAACCGTCGTTGCCATTATCACCATTGATATATGGGCCGCTACTAGACAGTCTGTCGCGAAAACAAATTCTGCCAAATTGCAAATTTTATTGGCAAAAAAGTTACGGATCTGGTATACCCAATACTGCTGGCAAAATGATGACAGAAAGTCAGAACTATACGTATAGCAATACTCATCAATAACATATATATGATGGCAGATTGAGCTGAAATCAAGCAGACAGTGACTTACTTTATTATAATTTATTGTATATTGAACGGAATTAAAGCATTCAACATATTCTACTTGGTTTCTGCCGCCGATTTGTTATCTAGACACGTCAGCAGGTTTAAATCGGCAAAGTACGAGACTAATGCGAACATAAGTAATGCCAATTCGCTAGCAATTTCCAATCGAATCTGCTACTTACTGCGGACAGTTTGTTTACTGGGTACTATTACCATCACTACTATTACTATTATTATTATAGTTATTGTTAGTACGTACATTACCGACCCATTGTTACAAATAATACTGCTAATAATTATCATTAGAGTGCAAATGTGGCAACAACCGTGACAAACGTGATATCGATAAGATTGGAAACGAAAAGGAAAAAGTACGGAAGAAAGAGAGGACTCAGCGTGGATATAGAGGGATGAAACAAACGATTTCGATTCTGGCATTGTCATAAATTATAAATTAATATAAATTATGTTTTTCCCGAGATTATTCTGTGATATAATTAACACTGAAATTACGTGAGCTTCATTATAATTCTTTAAATTTGACACCAAACTTTTTTTGAGATTGTTCATTTCTACATCTACGATTCCTCTCCTTCTTCACTGTTATAAAATAATTAGAACGAGATAAACTTTTTGTTGTCAGGTTTGCATAAAAAATCGGTTATGATATTAACATCGAGTTTTATAGATTTGATAGTATCTTTTCCTAGAAGAACTTAAGATTTTATATTTTCTTAATTAGATATATTTGCAAGTATAAGAAAGACAGTAAGTACTCTAAAATATAAATGCGACGAAATTTCTTTAGCTGCGTCAATGTTATTGAATGCTGTTTTACATTTTCTATCATTTTAATAACAGATATATTTATTTATACATATACTTTTGCAATTTGATTTTATACGCAAATCTGACAGTAAGAAATTTTCTTGCAAAAAGAGCTCTCTTTTTATCTTCTTCCTCGTTTTGAAATTGATTTTATTCAATTTCTCATTCGGGACGAGCCCAGACAATTGAAAGAAATGCAAAGTTCTTGTTGAGACAATTCGCTTGTATTTTTTTGATACATGTCGCAATAATAATCACGTTGTAAACGATTGGAAACGTTATCGCCGTATGATTGCGGTTCATTATATTTTAAAGGTAGTATACCGTATCGTACGAGGGTATAAGTATTCTGCAATTACACATACATTGCATTGAAAACTGTATATAAAACGGTCGTCACAATAATTATTACGTGGAATTGCTTGCGTGACGTATATTTCTTGCATGAGCTCGAACATTAATTTCGCGATCATGTTCAAGTGAAAAAAATATTGCAGTTGCCGAATGATCAGATAATGCTCTACTGCACTATCGACTAAAAAGGAAAGAAAAGTTACTGTTGCATTATAGAACAGAAAACATGAGTCCACAGTTATTATAAAAAATAGCCATCGTATCTTGAAAGTAGCGACACATAGTTTTTATCAGACAGAGAAGCCTAAGCGGTTGTCTTGGTCTTTTTCGTGAGATCATCGAAATTCATACACTACTGTCACCATCCATTTTAACATGTGGCATTAAATATCTATACAGAAAGAATGGTTTTGCTAAAATATTTAAAAATCTACTTCAAATTATCTAAAAATATCAAAACAATCACGTAGGACGCTTAAACTAATTGCTAGAATGTCAAAATTTTTGTAACATTGTTCATCATATTTGAGTTTCCTACATAATTATTTTGATTGTTCAACAAAATTATTTTTAGATTTGTATCTACCTAAATTTTTAGATACTTTAATAAAATCGTTCTTTCGTATACTGAGAGGAAGGGTATCCACATTATCCACTGGCTTTATAAGATGAATAC